GATTCAAACAATTTCCCAAGGCAACTGCACCTATTTGGCATACGTTGAAGAAGCAAGGTTGTTGTCAGATCAATTGTCAACTGTCGGCAAACCCATCGATGAGCATGTGCTCATCACATACCTCTTGAGTGGCCTCAAATCCCTCTTTGCTCCATTCATCACCTCCTTCAATTTCCCCACCGCGAAAAGGACTTAACCGTAGAGGATTTCCAAGCGAAACTTCTCACATTTGAAACTCTCATGGAGGCTCATGAACCCATTGCTTCAATAGAGACCTTTGGCTTTGTTGCTAACCAAAGCAAGGGATTGTCCTTTGTTAAGAAACCAACCAAGTCCTCTGGTTTCTCCACTCAGGCCCATTTACCTTCACATACCACTCACCTAACTCATGCGGGCTCTCTGAATGCTAGGCCTAATCAGCCCCCTACACTTGAAAATAGGCCCATATGTCAAATATGTGGAAAAAGGGGCCATACGGCCCTAGACTGCTATCACTAGTTTAATTTTTCTTATCAAGGCCGAAACTCACCTTTCGAACTAACTACCATGGCTGCCGAAGGTAATTCTGCATATGCCCAACAGATGTAGTACGCAGACAGTGGAGCCAATGCCCATATCACTAATACTACGGCAAATCTCGCTTCATCACAACCCTATGTTGGAGAGGACACCATTACTGTTGGCAATGGATCAGGTTTAGTGATTAAAAATACGGGTACCACGTCTCTTAATGTTCTTCATTGTCCTAATGCCTCTTCCAATTTAATTTCTATTATCGCTTTTGCCTTGATAATAATTGCTATTTTTTATTGACTTGATCTGATTTTTATGTGAAGGAGAACAAGACGGGGTGGCTCCTACTTCACGGGCAAGTTAAGAATGGACTCTACCCAATTGCAGACACTAAATCTTGTTCATCAAAAATTTCATGCTTTACTGCTAAAGTTGGTATCTCTACTACATTAGATGTCTGGCACGATCATTTAGGTCACCCTTCCCAAGTTATTTTAAGTCAATTTTCTCGGTCTAAGTATTCATCTATTTCATCCAATAAAGTAGGGTTCTGTTGAGCATGTCCCCTAGGGAAAGCTAAACAATTACCCTTTAGTGAGTCTACTCCTCAGTCTTTGCATCCTTTATCTCTTATCCATTCTGAGGTATGGACATCTCCTGTGTATTCGGTTGGTGGTTCCAAATATTATGTTATTTTTGTTGATGACAATTCTCGCTACATACACTTGGCTCTACCCATTAATTTATAAAAATGAGGTTTCGGAATTTTCAAACAATTCAAAGCACTTGTCGAAAATATTTTTTCCTGTAAAATTTAACAATTCCAAACAGATAATGGGGTGAAATCTCTCTACCCAATTTAAAAGTTTTTTGCAAGAAAATGGTATTTTTCATCACTTAACGTGTCCTCACACATCTCAACAAAATGGTATAGTCGAAAGAAAACATCGCCACATTGTTGAAACGGTCTCACCCTATTAGCTCGGTCCCACCTTTCCCATACGTATTGGCCAGATGCATTCCTGACATCAGTATATTTAATAAACTTCCAACAAAAGTTTTAAATAATTTAACACCTTTTTACATGCTCCATAAAACCATTCCCCAATACTCTCACTTCACATATTTGGATCAGCATGCTTCCCGTTATTAAGACCATATGAGCCTCATAAATTGTCCTTTAGAAGCAAAGTATGTGTTCTCATAGGATATGCCAGTCAACAAAGAGGTTACCGCTGTCTTGACCTAGTTACAGGACGTGTCTATGTGTTACGAAATGTAATTTTTGATGAAAAACATTTTCCTGCAAAGGGTCAAGTCCAAACTTCTCCTGCGTCGTCAAGCTCGAGCTCGCTTGGTACACTTTCTCCTTCACCTCTTTCAATTTCAAATATTCCTATTCCACCAACTCCTGCCATCGACCCAATAGCATCACACACCCATGAGACCTTTGATCACAAACCCCTTTCCCGAATCCCATTTCTCCACTACAAGTTGAAACCCAAGATCTCAAAACTCCAAATTCATAAACACTTGAAACCCAGTCTACAGAACAAATTACCTCACATGAATTCCCTATCCTTGTCCCACACCCCAACCAGGCAACAACCCACTCAATGACGAGTAACTCAAAACCTAAGGCCTTTCCTGATTTTACAATGTTTTATACTACCAAGTATCCTTTGCAGGTACTCTCCTCTGTTATCACTGACACTGAACCATCCAATTACACACAAGCGGTTGCCTCTCCATCCTGGCGTGAAGCAATGGGACGGGAATTTGATGCACTAATGGTGAATGGGACTTGGTCACTTTGTCCCCGCCCACATGGTAAACATGTTGTACGCAACAAATAGGTCTATAAAATCAAGAGATTGTCTGATAGAAGCATTGAACGATTTAAACCCCGTTTGGTCGCAAAATGATTTGATCAACAGTATGGAGTCGACTACACAAACACATTTTCTCCTGTGGTAAAACCTACTTCTATTCGCATTGTGTTAGCTTTGGCTGTTTCATTTAATTGGCATATTCGACAATTAGACATTTCAAATGTTTTTCTGCAGGGCTATCTTGATGAAGAGGTATTTATGGAGCAACCACGAGGTTTTGTCGATGAGACTCATAGTGATTATGTTTGCAAGCTTTATAAGTTACTTTATGGCCTTAAACAAGCTATGAGAGCTTGGTTTAGACGACTGTCCCAACACCTACTTGAGTATGGCTTTGTTGAATCAGCCGTTGACTACTTACTTTTTGTCTATACTACTAAGACTGCGAAATTATTTGTGTTGATAGATGTTGATGACATTATAGTTACTGGATCAAGCTTACATGCCATTATCACTTCATGGTTAAAGTTCTTGGAGATCTAAGATTCTTTTTAGGTGTTCAGGCATCAAGAGATTCTCAAGGCTTGCATCTTCGTCAAATCCAATACATAATAAATCTACTACATAGCACCAAGAAGGCTGGTGCAAAGCCCTTTCGGTACCCTACTACATCTGGTCTGAAGTTATCTTCTGTAGAAGGTCCCTTATTGTCTGATCCAACAGAGTATAGAAGAGTGGTCGGGGCACTATAATATTGTACTTTCTCTAGACAAGATATTGCATATGCCGTAAATCAATTGTGCCAATTTATGCATTACCCAAGTGAACCTCATTGGGTTGCTGTCAAAAGAGTGCTTCGGTATCTAAAGGGTAGTATTGATACCGATCTACTATTCACTCCTCGATCTATTACTCTTCAAGCCTTTTGTGACTCATTAGTATATTTCGTCATGTAGTCTCGGATAATACCCGAGTTTGAAGCCAACGTAATTTTTCCTTAGCTTCTGAGCCTTTGTTGTGCCGTCTTTTACTTCGAATGGATTGTGAAGCTGGAAACATTTGGCTTCTGATGTGGCTTATAAACCGTGCCCTTCCCCCTCTCTCCTTCCATTCCTCTTCCGATTAGACTGAATAGCTCTAAGGAATTGGGTGTAATGGGTGGGGAACTATTTGTAGGTAGATATTGTTTTTTTGGTTTCTAGAATGCTCCCGTTTGAGAGAGATTACAATGGACCAAAAAAAATGAAGGGTTTTTCTTCTCGCAGCTATCCTCACCATCACACCTACACCGGCCACTAAGAACTCAGTTGTCTTCTCCAACCGCCGGCACCTCTCCGCCACACGTACACCGGCTCCTAAGAACTCGGCTCTCTTCGCCATTTGCTAGAAATAAATTAAGGGTTTTCCTTCTAGCAACTTCCCTCACCGTCACACCGACACCAGTGCCTAACAACTAGGCTCTCTTCTTCAACCGTTGGTACCTTGCACACGTACGTCCGCTCCTAAGAACTCGGCTCTCTTCGCCAACTGTCGGCACCAAAATGCAATTTTTGTTATTTTTACTAGAAATTTTCGAAAATTTCAATTTTTTTCCTTCATTTAATTGAGTTGAAGATTTAGAATTTGAACGTGTTTTTAATTATTTATTTTTTTCTTTTTCAGAATTTGACCTACGTATCTTCCATTCGAAATTGCAATTTGATTTAAGTTTCCAATCTTTTGCTGCCTGATTATCTGCAAAGGTGAGTTTGTTATTTCAATTTTTTTAGGTTCTTCTTGTTTGTATTGTGCTATTTATTTTTTTTGTGCTCAAATTGATCTTTGCTATTTTCCTTCTAGATTAGATTCAAAGGTTTAGGGCTTCATTAATTCAATTTTTTTAGTTCTTTTTTTGTATTACGTTATTTACTTTTTGAGCTCAAATTGATCACTGTCGTTCCCTTCTAGATTAGATTAAAAGTTTTAGGGCTTAGAATCCTCTCGTTGTTGACTCTTTTTGAGCACACAAGTGTTTTTTCTTTCTTGGAATTGTTCCTTCCAGCTGGTTATCATGTTGTGAACAACCTTAGAGGTGTGTAGTATATTTCTGTAAATGGTTAATGCTTTTAAAATAAAGTGGGATTTTATAACAACATATAACTTCTGGCTTATTCTTTTTCGAAGGATGATATGTTAGAAATTCTTGATATTTTTTGTGTCCCATGTTTTTCTTATGATATGTCCAGCTACGTTTTTGTTTTACTATAGGTTATCACGTGTTCATCCCTTTTTATAATTTCAAACAACAATTTTGGAGACGCACGATTTATTTTGTGCTTTTTTGGTGCACCCTCTATCTTCCATAACTTCAATTATGCTGCTTATTCTTCATTATTTCTCCTTCAGCTAAAGGAATTTGAGAAATTTTAGGAGTGAGGCTTGTTTGGTGAATATCTATCCTTTATCCTGAAAGAATTGTTGGTAGATAGGAAAAATGGTTTTTGTTAAATGCCAATTTAAAAATATTGTGCTAAAATTTGAGTAGCCCTACAAGTTGTTTAAGGTGGGACCACATCAAAAAGCATTCTCCTTTGCAAAAAGATTAACTAATAGAATAAGATGATTGTAATGCACTAGAATGCAAGATTTTTTCCCTCTTGTATACTCTGACAAATATCAGTCTTCCTGCATACTTTGGTCAGTTGTATCAATAGCTTCGTCAAAACTAAAATAAGTGAAAGAGTCTCCAGGAAAGTGACTAATCAACAAATTATTGATTTCATCAACATATTCATTTTTTGGAGTTAAAATTACTCTGTTAATCATGTAATGAAGATTGTCAACATAATGATCTAAATTTGGGTAAACTATATCTATTAATGACTGTAAAGAAGTGATGTGTTCTTCGAAATCTATAGTTATGTCAGGCGGAAGTTGTACCATATTACATGAATGTTTTTCTGCAGTTCCATCTCCAATATCGAGTAAATATTTACAAAACGATGTATCTAATTGCGCTCTCATGTTTTCACTTAATCTTAGTTTTGTAAATAAAGGCCATAAGTAAGAGTTAACGTGACTTACTCTTATTACACCGTCTTTATTACCTCTTTGAACTACAGGTAGAACTTGAAGAAAATCTCCTCCTAAGACAATAACTTTACCTCCGAATGGAAATTCACAATCATTAACATCTCTTAACATTTTATCTAATGCTTCAACTACATATCGATTCACCATTGGAGCTTCATCCCATATGATTAGTTTTGTCATTCGAAAAAGTTCTGCAAGAGCACTCTATTTACTAATGTTACATATTGTGTCATTACAAATTTCTAGAGGTATTTTAAATTTAGAATGTGCTATTTGTCCACAGGCAAAAGACCAGCTACAACACCAGAAGATGCTGTTGCTAAAGCAATCATTTGTCTTGATCTCACAGTACCTAGTAATGCACGATATAAAAAGATTTTACCCGTTCCACACATTCCATCGGACCCGAAGCTTATAAGTACTACCAAACAAGCATAGCATGCAACTTATGAATATAGTAAGCAAAAAGAGTTATTGACACAAAAAAAAAAAAAAAAAAAAAAAAATTACATTGTAAGAGATTATCAATTGATGTTGAAGAACTATGGTAAAACAGAGCAAACGACAAATTCAAATCCGCAATTGTATTTGCTACGCGAAAATGGGCTCATAGTTTCGATTATTTTTCAGCTCCCAAATGCAGTGTTTTAATATTGAATGGGTAAATTGTCTTGAGGCTTACTTCCTAGATTTTCTTTAGTCAATTTACAAGATTTCAACATGAGAATAATGAGTGGTTTAGGTGTCAAAATACTCAATAATAATACTTAACCACTAGAATTTTTTGCCAATATAAAAGACAATAAAAGGCTAATATTCTCTACATTATAATGTTATACTCGAGGTCCCTTAATCAATAAAACATACAAAACGAGAAATCGGAAAAGGGAAACGACAATACCTAATGATGCTGCCACTAACTATTCCACAAACAGATTAATCCCAATTAATTAGTAAAAAATTGCTTTCTTTTAAGTTGAGCCATATATAATAATTACTAAATTCAGTAACACTAAACTGTAAGCAAAATTTGAAAAGGAAGGGAGAAAAATCCAAACCTCGCTTTTAGAATGACCTTAATAGCAACCTCCGGTCCTATAAGTTTCCTCTTCTTAAACTTGGTCCGGTAATTAAACCAAAAAAAAAAAAAGAAAAAGAAAAAAGGAACGCGTTCCAAATCCTTCTCACTTGATGCAACACTAATTAGATTATCCTTATTTCTTTTCTCTACAACTTCAGCGTCATCATCTTCGATGAGTAATGAAACATATTTCTCTGTATTTGGAAAAAAAAATGCAATTTATTACAATAAAGTAACATTCCTCATCAATTAAATATATAAACATAATGTGGAAATTAACCAAATGTCTAAAAACTCCTAAATTTTTTTTTGCAGATTCATATATAAAACAATGTCTCTAGCAAAAAGTTTAAACAATCGTGATGTTCAAGCTTTAATAAGCTCCAAGTGTAAAACTTCTTGACCTGGGAAAACAACTAACAGATATTGCTAGGATTTAATAAATGGTTTTACCCATTCCTGACAAGTATACCCAAAATGAACTCTACCCACTTCTTTTCCAACTCAATTACTGGTTTAAAGAGGTTGGATTGGGTTGGGTTGGGTTGGTCGGTTTTGGGCTTCTACCCAATTAAACCCAATCCAACTTGAGGTTGGGCATGTACCTAAGGATGAAAGTATAAGAAACGAGATATTGGAAGAGGCTCACTCTACCCCCTATGTTGCACATCCAGGCAGTACAAAATATATCGAGATCTTCTCTCGATACATTTTTGTGAAGAAATATGAAGAGAGAAATGGGTCTATTCATGGAGAAATATCTTATCTGTCAGTAGGTCAAGGCTGAACATCAAAGGCCATCAGAGCCATTGAAACCATTGTATATTCTAGAACGGAAATGGTAACACATAGCGATAAACTTTGTGGTAGGCTTTCTGAGATTAGCAAGAGGTCACAATGCCATTTGGGTATTGGTTGATCATTTGACAAAGTTAGCCCATTTTTGCCAATTAAGGTAAATTTCACTATGGAACAACTCGCATAGATTATAGAGATAGTCAGATTGTATGCAGTTCCTATCACTATTGTTTCAGATAGAGACTTGATGTTCACATTGAAATTTTGAAAAAGTTTGTAGGCAACCATGTGGATGAACTTGAAGTTTAGTATTGCTTATTATCCACGGATGAATGGACAATCAGAAAGAACCATTTAAACTCTTGAAGATATGTTAAGGGCATGTGTGTTTGGATCTTGGCGGTGGTTGGGAAACACATCTGTTGTCAGTGGAGTTTGCTTACGACAATAGCTTTCAGGGCACTATAGACATGGCCCTATATGAAGCTCTTTATGGTAGGAAGTGCAGATCTCCTATCCATTGAGACGAGGTCGGAGAGAATAAAATTTTGGGTCCTGAAATCATTGAACAAATAGTTGACGCAGCTGATAAAATTAGAGCAAGAACAAAGACAGCACATGACCGACAGAAAAGTTATGTTGATGGTAGAAGAAAGGATTTGAAATTTTAAGTGGGTGACAAGGTTTTTCTAAAAATAGCACCAATAAAGAGTGTATTGAGATTTGGAAAGAAAGGAAAGTTGAAACCGTAGTTATTGAACCTTTTGAAATTCTTGAAAGAATTAGTGGGGTGGCTTACTGACTTGCCTTACCACCCGAACTAGCAGCAGTGCATAATCTATTCCATGTTTCGATGCTTGAAAAATATGTTCATGATCCAAATCATGTGGTAAGTTACCAAACTTTGGAGGTACAAAAAGACTTATCATATGAAGAAATCCCGACGATAATTGGATAGAAAAGTACATTAACTCAGAAACAAAGAAGTTACCCCGATCAAGGTCCAATGGTGAAACCAAGACTTGATGAGTCAATTTGGGAGAAGGAAGAAGAGCTTAAAACCGGGTATCCAGAACTCTTCGATTAGGCAATGTAATTTTAGAGGGCGAAAATATTTAAGGTGGGGAGATTATAAAGTTCCGAAAAATCTCATAGAATAGAATTATTATTTTTTTATTATGCTATATTTTTTTTTATGCTTTGGAAAGTTGGGGGATTAAAGGGATATATGGGTTAATTCAATTTTATTTGGATCAAATATTTAGATTTTGATACGGCAATGATAATTATATCAATATTGGGCTCATTAGGTAGTTTGTGTTTAATCACGTATAGTAGACTCGAGAAAAAGTTAATTCGGATAAGTTAGATTCAAGATATTGCAGTTTATAGATGTTATAAATAATTAGATATTTATTAAGTTTGTTTAATAAATTCTTGATGACTAGGACACATGTAGGATATATATGTATGTATCTATCTTCTAATCTAATCTAAAAAGGTTGAACCTCAACCTTCAGGGCCTTACCGCCCCGCCCCTAGAGTTTTGTGAGGAAGGTAAATCTCGGGATGTGCTCCAACAGGTCAGGGAACAAGAGTTGCCTGTACACTACGCCTACAAAGAGTCCAATTCCATGTCTCAGGAATCGAACCTCCATACTGCGGCTGCCAGCAAATCTTCTAATCTAATCTAACTACTATATAAGAGGGAGTTATACTTTACGGTTCACAAGCCGTTTAAGCCATTTAACTAAGCCAGGCCGTGTTATCCTATAAGTCTGACTATTACACTGCTTCAGTACAACTCATCCAACCATGTCTCATTAATGGTGGTTGGACTAACCAACCATTTCTTCTCTCTGACATTTTATCTCTCTTTCATTGCTTCTTCACTCCATTTCACACGCAACCACCATGTCTGTTTACTCTGTAGATTTTTTTTATCTTCTTGTCAATTTTTTTTCTCTTTTTGTATGTCTTTCTCTCTCGCTATTCTCTCTGCTCTAATTGGTAGCAGTTAGATCTGTACGAGGAATTCCCATGGAGATGTCCTGAAGATGGAATTAGATACAAGCAAATTGTAGAAAGGAAGCGGCTATAGATGTTTCTAATTGGACTCAACAAAGATATTGATGCTATTTGACAGAGAATTCAAGGAACAAAAGCACACCGTTAGCCTTCGAGAAGCATTCTCTGATGTCCAACTTAAAGAGAGCAGAAAAAGTCCTTTTTTTAAGTCCGACTACAAGAAAATAAATGCAATAGTAGTGTTTAAAATTTGCAATTCATGGTTTCTTTTTGATGTCTTTCACTACTAGGCCGTATATTATAGTAGCTTGTTTTAAATGGAAGGAATAATTGTGTAAAAAAAAAAAAGAAGTTCTCTCTGCTCTAATTTCTTGACATCTTGTGTAGATCTTTTGGCTATGAATCCTAGGTATGGTGGATAGGTTTACCGTTTGTTTCCATATCTACAAGATGTTTTTGGGCTTTACGGTTTTTTCTCGTCCTTCTCTTCATGATTTCTTTCTTCAGATCACAGAACTGGAACCCTAACTTCCAAAATTTGTATGCATTCAAGCACGTAAAGGTATATACTCTCCGATGAAGTTCGGGAAACAGCTATGCCTCGAACATGGCATTAGCAAAGAAGGCATTCTCGAAGATTTCGCTACTCAGGTTCAAACCTCTCACACTCTCTGTATTTTTGTATGATTTTTCCATTAATGTAGAGTTGTTTTATGCTTGTGATTGGCGAAGAAATTGGAATTGAGAATGGAAAGATATTATAAAGGGATGTTTTGAATTTGATTGGTGATTGTGCAGTGTAAGTGTGCTGAAACTCAATGCTTTACTGTCAGTATGTATATGTTTATGTCTTTGTATACTCATTTCTTTTTTTCTTTTTTTCTTTTCGGGTAGAGCTGTTGTTTTATGTTTTTCCTTCGTAGAAAAGTATAACCGGAAAAGATATAAAGGAGAAAAGTTTTCAATTTTCGAATTGGTGATAATGGGTGGAAATTTTTGATACTTGATGCTTTACTTTTTGTATGATTTTTCCTGTTTGATCGTGATGGAGGTAGAGAAGGCTTCAACTATTGGGTTGGTGAAGTGCAATAACAAAGTGCGGCAGTTCATGTATCAAAAGTTGTAGCCATCTTAGTCTGATGAAATGAAATTGCACTGTATTTTTTTTTTTTTGTGTTTGTGTTTTAAATAAGGAATTTGGTAGTTTTTCATATTGTGTTTTAGTTATTAAGAGTATTAGTCAGCAAGTGCAAGTTGGAATTGGAAGGGAAAGAAAGCAATATAATAAAGTGTTAAGTTTCAGTTATTTTGGAAAGGGAACTGCCAGAGAACCGAGAGAATTGTTTCAAATAAGTTCTTGATTGTACAAATGAACCTGTACTGAGTAACTGGTCCACAGAGTCGTGGGCATGAAATTGGAACTGAAGAAAACAAACATGAAGTGGGAACTTTGATGAGGCGTCCGGCTAATGTCATCTCATTCTGACGTTTCATTCATTGCTGGTGGACACAGATCTTAAAGTATGCATATTTAGAAGATATATATGCTCACAAATACATAAATTATTCGCAAATTCATGCTTATATACATATATGGTAAATTGTGTGTGCACTGGATACTTATATTTGGCCCCATGAGTAGAATTGATCTATATCAGCATTCTAATAAAAATTTCTTTTTCCGCGTTAGTACAATGCTCCAGGGAGGTGACGGGAAAGATTTTTTTCTATCAAGCCAATGATCAATCCTATATTCCGCGTGCATTACTAATGGATTTGGAGCCCAGAGTGATTAATGGTATACAAAATGGGGAATACAGAAATCTCTACAATCACAAGAATGTAATTATTGCAGATCATGAAGGCAGCGCTGGAAATAACTAGGCAAGTGGATACCACCAGGTCAGTATCTGTTCCTTTTTCATAATTGATGGTAGATATTATATTCTGTTAATGTGACATATTCTTTTTGTATTATGAAAGTAATATACTTGGACTAATAGTACATAAAATATTACTGGATTGCTGGTAAAGTGCGTGTAAAGCTATATAATGGTATTCAATATATTTGGTGAGATGATTGTTGGCCTATTGCTCTTTGTAATCATGCTTTTTCTGCTTGAATCCCTAATGTTAATTTGATCCACGCTGGTTTCAAAAGTAATAACTTTGGCATTCCAAACTTTTTTTGTCAAGTAATACTAGATTTTAATTTCTGAACGAAGCAACTTCCTTTCTCTAATCCATTAACAACGAAGAGGTTTTCGGTACCATGAACAAATTTTTTTGACTCAAATAATAAGAAAACCATTTTTTAACAGTACCATGAACAGTAAAAAAAATTTGACTCTTTTGACAAAAAATTTGACTACGACTCTGACGGAACAAAGGGAAGTTGTTTTGGATGCTAAATTAGCCCAAAAACAACTTTTGAAATTTTTTTGGGATTTCAATGGATAAAGACTTAACAAATGAAGAAAAACATGAAGAACACAAAAGAAAATGATGAAAAAGAAAAAAAAAACACTAAGGCTCAACAAAAAAAATAAAAAAGATATAACCTCATAACTTTGTTTCATCAGTTCTGTTGCTGGGTATTTGAGGAATGTTTCAATTGGATTTCCAATTATCAATGCGGTGATTGAGCCTGTGGAGTCTTGTAGTTGAACAATTGCTCTTGCTATGCTAGAATGGAAGTGGAATCATTATTACTATTTTAGGTTCTATTTGGTGATGATTAGATAATAAATAATTCATTTATTCATATAAATGATGTACTGACATGATTATAATCTTACCTTGGAGTTGGTGTAGCGTAATTGTGCTTGCAAAATCTACAGAAGTAAGTTTCGTTCACAGCCGCACTTGCGGATTTATTACAATTGTCACATGATAGATACCATAGTGGTTGGTCTATTTCAGCCAATGTGACATTTGGTTTTGTCCTAAAGTGTCATTGCTGCAATGTACAGAATAACATGTAAAAAAATGTGTGTTATGGGCAGATGTGAGATGTTGTGTAAGTGAGAAGGTTTAGTAATTTGGTATACCATATGTTGGAGTTGTTGTAGTTGTTTGATGCTGACTAACTTGTCTTTTGGTGGACAACAAATGGTGGCAGATGTAGGGAAGGTATAATCTTTTCTTGTCACAGATGTCATTTACTGTGTTCATGTTGTCTCGAGCCTAATGTTGATGTTAGAATGAAATTGTTAAAAGTAAATAAGTAAATTAAGAGTTATAATTACAATAGATATAAGTATGTAACTGAATAAGCAAAAAAAAGTACCAGTGCTTTAGTTCAAGAACTTGCTTAAATGGGGGATTAATGAGTATTGATGAGTTGATTTTTGTAGAGACTGATATACCTAAATAGAGATTGAATTGAGTTTTTGCATGTAAGTTTTGAATTCATGTGTTCGTGTGATTGTGCACAAGGATGAGTGAATTTCCCATTGAAAGAAGTGACTCTTAATCTGTTGCTCACAACAATTAGTTGTTTGGTGATTGTGTTGTAGATCGTATTACATTCATTTGTGATGAAATTGAACCACATCTAAAGCATATGTGTTTCTAACCTGTAAGGCCGTTAGCTGTATTTAATATATAATAACTAAAAGAGTTATTTTAGTGTTGGCAGTAGTGAATTTCTAACATCTCATTTATGAGAATGACATCTTGTACCGTTGATTGCTTGTCACGAATTTGAATTACTCTTTTGGGAAAGATTTCAGTTGCTATCCCAATAATGCCTACAAGAAGTAATGTAGGTTAGTAATCAGTGTAAGTTGTAATTTATGTTGAAGATGGAAGTAATGAAGTGTAAGATGTTAATGGGATTGTAAGTACTTACTAAATTCTGCATTTGTATCCATGTATGGCTGAAGATTTTCGAATGATATGAAGTTGTAAGCTGAAGAAAGGAGAGAGTTAAATTGTTCATTGACTTCAACAATGTTTGTTTTTGCATTGATTGTCCATCGGATGTCACCAAGTTGGGCCTTGTAATTTTTATCTGTTTCTTTAACTTGTGCATTTGAGATGAGGTATGTTTTGTGTGGTAGTAAGGAGCTAGAAAGGCGCTATGTGAGGCAGGAAGTTGTCAACCTAGAAAAAGGAAAATGAAGTTTACTGTGTGAAAGAATAGAGCAGAAGAACAATATATTTGGATATAGAATCTAATTGATATGGTGTTCCTTAATAAAGAGAATGGAGGATTTGTATATTTAGAAATTCAATATTTTACATCCTTTCATTTATATAATTTGGAATGAGATACATTTGAGATTTCAAAATTTAAGCACCTGAATGAATTAAATGCACGTGGGACATTTTTTTTTTCTTGAATGGAAGAAAGAGTTTGATTAGATTGAAAAATTGATAAACGGATATTTAGAGTTGATGGTTTTGATTTATTGTGGATCAAAGTTCCAAACAAAGGAAGTCAAATTATGAGAGATGATTTACCTTAGGATCCTTCAACCAAATAAATTGGTATTTCAATGGACTGTTCCTAGCTTTGGTGGGAGAGCATTTTTCTGAAACTACTGCCTTTACAGTCCAGCCAGATTCTCCAGGTTTGATGTCAGGTATAAGTTTGTATTCTGTGGCCATCTTTATCTGCAAAGAATTTAATTTGATTAGTAGATGAAAATGGTTAGAAATATAATAGTTAAAACAAAATACAGATATAGAAAGATATATGGATGATGTTTGTGAAAATGTTTGCAATTAATGTATGCTGTTGTGGATGGAAGAAAGGGATTACGAAGATAAAGAGCAAGGAGCAACTGAAGTTAGAGAAGATAAAGTGGATGCACTTTTATTTGGTGGCTTATATGTATGTTGAGAGATGGGGTGGTAGTGGAATCTGATGAAAGTTTTAGAATCAGTGGTCAGGAAGATAGATTTCTATTTTGAATATAGCTTGGAAAATTCTTAGTGGCAAGGAAGAACTTGATTTACTGCCATAAGCAGAGGTTTTCAAGGAAAGGTTGTGAGAAGTTGGTTGCCCAAAGAAACCATTTTTATTTCGTGGTCCATCTTCTATTGAGCTACCCAAAGAAACCATTAAACCAGTTTAGTACGATAGTTGTAAAATAACGAAGTAGAAGTAACAAATCTTTTACCCCCAAGAACTCTATCATAAGACCACATTTAACTAATACATCAATTACCATTAACAAGAATCATAAATGGATCTAATTTGAAAATATGTTGCCTAATCCAATCAATAGAGATAGCATGGAAATCTACAAAAATAATACAGCCTTCGGCAGCTTTGGCAGAAAGCTCTTGAACCTTTGTATATGCCTCCAAGTGTGCTGCTCCAAGATGTTTTAGGGGTTCCTCTGCAGCACCCCAAGTTTGTCTTTCCCCTAGAGGTTCTCTTTTCGAAGATTCTAATTTTTCGTAAAGCTCCATTATTGGACGCCAGATGGTGTAGCTCCATAGCTTTATTTTGATTTCAAGCTTGCCAGAATCAAGAATGCATTTTCATATCTACAAAGTTAGACTTCAAATATTCATTGTGAAAACTAAATTGTACTGCAGTCTCTTGAAGTTGATCATGGCCATAATTAGTATCTTTATTTCCATCATGTAATCCATTTCCCTTGATAAGATACCTACCACTCCTGTCTTCTATATTATACAGATCATGATCCTCTTCTACGCGATTAGTTGGTGTCTGACCACTATAAAACCCTTCTTAAGACATTGTGGTAAAGTTTTACCAAAGAGCTGGAAATTAATAAACGACATGATCAGTAAAGGATAAACATAGGCTAGAATTAATAAGATACCACATTGACATTAACCCTGAAATAAAGTGATAGCATCAATATTATATAGTACTTTCCCACATTTACTTTGACGTGGGGGAATCCTCTATTTCATTTTATTTCAATTTCGAGGCAGTTAAATTCGATGAAGCCATCATTTACATCAATTGAAGAAAAAATTAGAACTAACTTGAACAATAAAGAGGCAAATATATTCAAAATTGGTAATAAATCATTTTATAGTTACCCTATATTGGCTGTTAGACTCGTTTTTCTTGAGTTAAAGTGCTTCCTATCCTTTGTCTACTTGAAAGCGTAGGAAAAGGGCTTGAGTTACTAATCCGATAGATAGATGAATCAATGAATTGAACCACAAGGAAAATCTGAAGTTCGCTGAAACATGAGCCCAATACGTAATTACAGCACAATAGTTCAAAATGAAAAATAATCAGTACCACGAAGTTGGTACAGTTAAAATAAAAACAAAACAGAAATTTAAAATTCATCACAAAAAAAGGAGCTGTAACATTTCAACTACAACACCAGAACAGCACACAATTAAATTTAAACTATTTGGTTCTGACTAATGTCATAGTGGAAAACATAAAGGAAAGCAATGAATAATGAAAAAGGAGAACAAAATAAGAAAGAGCAAGGGATCACATGAAAGACTACAATATCACATTTGATTGTGTTTGGCAAAAAATGTGCTTTGTGGTTTTGTAGGTTATACATTATGAGAGTGAACTAACATTTCAACTTGGATTCTATTCCATTTCCAGTAAGTCTTCCAGATCAATGACAATTGTTCATGGTTAAATGAAAGCTCAAGGTCTCACATGTGTATAGACAATGAGATCTATCATATGTTGAGTGCAGTAATAACTAATTAATTGCATTATCCAAGAATAGGATCGAATCCACAAATTTTACCTATGATTCTTTTGTTGAGGACTGCTACAAGATTCTTTAACAGCTGCCTGCATGAGGAGAAACACTGGGAGTTTCATGGCTCATGGTAATTTAAAATGTCTATTGTTTACAGCATAAAAAGAGGTGAAAATTTTTAAAATAATTTGAAGAAATGGAAACAATAAGCAGAGAATATACCTCGCATTGATCAGAATTTGTTACTGAACCCAACTGCGCAAACTGATTTCCACCAAAAGCATAGACACAACCATGCATATGGTATGCCACAACGTAGCTGCAACTGCTTCAATTTGAGATCCCAATAAAAAAAGTCACAGAAGTTGGTCTCAGCATGTATGTACTCTATTTCCTTGTTCACACTGCATAAAAAAGGGGCTTATTTTGCAAATGTAAATGCTTAACAAAGTAGACTAAAAACACCAAACCCAAACCTGGTTACGTTAAGGTTTTTATCTGATTTTTGTTACTTTAGTTATATGCTGGATCCTGAAATGAAAACGAGGAAACCTCAAAAATAACTACAAGCAGGACCAATTGGAAGGCATCCCGTTTGGGGGTTCCATAGACAAAACTAAAGGTATGCATCTAAAAAGCTATTACTGAATATGCAATTGCAACTTCATTTTTTCTTCTCTAACCTGGATTTCTCTTTATGAATGAGTAATTTCACTTTCATCACATCAAAAGGTATGTGCTTTTGGATAGTGCTTCGAAAAAATTTTCTAATGAGTACAAGTTGGGAAAAGAAGTGGGTAGAGTTCATTTTGGGTATACTTGCCATGAATGGGTAAAACCATTTATTAAATCCTAGCAATATCTGTTCGTTGTTTTCCCAGGTCAAGAAGTTTTACACTTGGAGCTTATTAAAGCTTGAACATCACGATTGTTTTAACTTTTTGCTATAGACATTGTTTTATATATGAATCTGCAAAAAAAAAATTAGGAGTTTTTAGACATTTAGTTAATTTCCATATTATGTTTATATATTTGATTGATGAGCAATGTTACTTTCTTGTAATAAATTGCGTTTTTTTTTTCCAAATACAGAGAAATATGTTTCATTACACATCGAAGATGATGACGCTGAAGTTGTAGAGAAAAGAAATAAGGATAATCTAATTAGTGTTGCATCAAGTGAGAAGGATTTGAAACGTGCTCCTTTTTCTTTTTTTTCTTTTTTTTTTTTTTTTTTTTTTTTTTTTTTTTTTGGTTTACTTACCGGACCAAGTTTAAGAAGAGGAAACTTATAGGACCGAAGGTTGCTATTAAGGTCATTCTACAAGCGAGGTTTGGATTTTTCTCCCTTCCTTTTCAAATTTTGCTTACAGTTTAGTGTTACTGAATTTAGTAATTATTCTATCTATGGCTCAGCTTAAAAGAAAGCAATTTTTTACTAATTAATTGGGATGATTCTGTTTGTGGAATAGTTAGTGGCGGCATCATTAGGTATTGTCGTTTCCCTTTTCCGATTCCTCGTTTTGTATGTTTTATTGATTAAGGGACCTCGGGTATAACATTATAATGTAGATAATATTAGCCTTTTATTGTCTTTTATATTTGCAAAAAATTCTAATGGTTAAGTATTATTATTGAGTATTTTGACACCTAAACCACTCATTATTCTCATGTTGAAATCTTGTAAATTGACTAAAGAAAATCTGGGAAGCCTCAAGACAATTTACCCATTCAATATTAAAACACGGCATTTGGGAGCTGAAAAATAATCGAAAACTTTGAGCCCATTTCCGCGTAGCAAATACAATTGCGGATTTGAATTTGTCGTTTGCTCTATTGTACCATAGTTCTTCAACATCAATTGATAATCTCTTACAATGTAATTTATTTTTATTTTATTTTTTGTTCTGTCAGGAACTCTTTTTTATTACAATATTTATAAATTGCATGCTATGCTTGTTTGGTAGTACTCATAAGCTTCAGGTCCGATGAAATGTGTGAATAATAAGTTGTTAGTAAATTGTATGTTCTGTCCTACGAAATGTTCAGACAATAGTATTTTTTTTTTTTTTTTTTTTTTTTTTTTTTTTTTTTTTTGCTTAGATTATTATTTACGCTTGGCCAAGATCATCTTAGGTTACAAACAAAATTGAATGACCATAAGACATGTATATACCCAAAAAACAGAAAAAAGGATTGCAAATAAAAATGTGTCGACTTCCGTCTATGAATGTGCAATAATGTGAGGGAGACAGAGACAAAGAGAGAAAGATCTTGCCTTTGTATTATACGAATTGTCTTTAGGCATAAAAATGTGCCACAATGAGAAAAAAAATAATTTAATATACCAATTAAATTATTTAGCATTTTTGTTTATTCGTTTCTACGTATGTCAAAATTCTTTTGAATTTTTTCTATAATATCAAACTATGTTTATTTATATCGAATATACAAAGGAAATGTATGTTTTGAGTATGGGTATAAAAATGGCTTCGGTGTCTAAGAAAAATAAAAGACAAAGAGAAGTGTACAATGACAGTGCGAAATTGGATATTGACATACAGACGCCGAAGAGAGAGTCTCTACGTTTTGTCCAGTTGGAAGGTAGATACATCTAACTACAAGAGGAAACATATTTGTAACATATTCTTAAGGAAGTTATTTTTGCCTTCTCTTATGACTTGTGCCAGTTTTTCTATTCGTGTGGACTTCTTTTTTTTTTTTTTTTTTTTTTTTTTTTTTTTTTTACTTTTTTTTTTATCATAACTAAGCATATAAACTATTATACTTCAATACTACATTTATAATATTTGTTTTGTATACTTTATTCTGACAAAAAAGGATATTTGAATGAAAATGTTTTTTCTCTTTTCTTTCTTTATTTTTAAGGTTAGCTTCTTTATCAAAAATTGTACCATATGATGTTTAACATTTAAAATTGTAGATTTTTGCTAGAGATTTTACCTTTTTATCTACACAAGTTTCATACAATATTGATATATTATTTTTACTATTTCGTGTGGCTTTAACATTCGAAATGGTTTTGCAAAATTAAAATTTCGCAGTTGCTGGTGTCACCAGTTCAGAGTCAATTTCTCTCTTTCCTAATCGCGAAATTGAAGATGATCAAGTAGGTAATAAGATATTTCACTTATTTGTATTAATTACATATTGTTTTTAGCAGTGAAAAGATCATGTATTCTTGAGATAGTTGAATATGATTACTTTGTCATGTTTGATTTGTGTTATGTATCATTATACAGGGAATGTTTTCATATTCAGTAGTCTTCGTTGTAATGAAGTTTGTAACAATGATGTTGGACGAAATAAGTTTATTTGATATATTTGTTTTGTTAAAAATTGAATTTATAACCATGTTTTACATTTTTTTAAAGGGATGTCTTTTTTAGATTCAAATGTGGTTTCCGTGATAGGTAGCTATTCTGCGACTTATACCCATCAGCTTGGTGTTCATTCAGAGCTAATACCATCAATATTTACAATAAATGAAGGTTCGTTTTCGATACCAAACAAATCACGTGTATTACCTTGCCCTATGTTATGTGAATATTATGGGGCTCTAAAATTTAAAGATGAACCGAAAGGTTTTTGTTGTTGTGATGGAGCTGTTAGATTGAAAGTGAATGATACCCCAGATGAATTACATCATTTATTTACATCAAATTCTGTTGAATCCATTGAATTTAAAATTTACGTACGAACTTACAATAGCAATTTCTCATTCACTTCATTTGGTGTGCATTATGATAAAGATTTGTGCAAAAGAAACAAAGGAATCTATACCTTTAGAATTCAAGGTCAAATATATCATTTTATAAATGACATTCTTGTACAAACGGTCGCCCTTCTTATGTGCAGCTCTATTTTTTTGACACTGAAAATGAAATAGAGCATCGACTACAACTTTCTGAAAAGTTAACAAAGTGTATACTTTCAAAGCTTGTCAAAGTGATGGAACTGAATTCATACGCAATTTTTTTTCGAACTTTAACAAATATTCCAAATTTGAAATCTCAGTCTTAAAATTAGATCTGATTGTGGATTAGATCAAAGAGTATATAACACATCATGTGCATCTTAGGTAGCTGCTATTTGGGTTGATGATGATTCTACTACTAATGAACGAGTGCGTGATATAACTGTTTCTTGCAATTCTGGAGAAAAACATCAAGTACATTATTATTTTGGTTGTTATGATCCACTTCAATACCGCTTACTGTTTCCTTTTGGCGAAACTGGTTGGCACCAATGTATTGTTAGAATTGACAAATGCAGAAAACAACAAACATGTGCAAATGAAAATTTATTTGACATTCATCAATTAAATTCCGCTAAAGAAATTTTGCAGTGGAAAATACAGGTGAATAATGCAAGATGCATAAAAGAAGAGATTTTTTCAAAAGCAGAAACACAAATGTTAAAAGCTAAAATTGGGTAGAGAAGAAATTCCTACCAACTAAACTTCAATGATAATGCGTATAGTATATCTTTGGATAAAGATTTTGAGAGCTAAAAACTAACTAAATATAAATATTGTAATTCGCTAACCTTCTGAAAATTCTTGATTAGTAGCATCAAGTGGAAAAATGAAGTTTTGGTTCATTTGTAACTGAGACTGTATCGGGGATCCAATTGGGGTGCTGGCCGATAGGTTTGGCAGGAAATGATTATGTTGATGCTGATTTTTCAAGTCCATCAGTTGCATGTTTATCATTCTTTTGCCTTAAAGATCAATGGCGTGCTGTAATTCCACCTCCTGCTGACCTCAGGGGCGAAGCCAGAATTTTTACCCAGTGCGGGCACAATTTTAGATATCGACTACAGTGATTTTTTTAGTCTGATTTTTAGTCCCTACGCCCGTGGTTGTTGTTGCTTCTTCTCACTGTGGTCCCCACTTTCGTCGGTGGCAGTGCAATTCAAAGCAGTCGGAGGAGTCATCAATTATTAGAAATTCGTGATGCAGGACCATAATTTCGGCAAGAATCATCCATGAGTAATAAAATACTAAACCTCCAAAAAGTTACAATAGGCAATATTAAAGTATAATGGTAAACATTTAAACTTTTAAAATTATAAACATATTAACATTGAAGGTACAATAACAGTAAACTTTTAAAATTATAAACATATTAACATTGAAGGTACAATAATATTAAACTTTTAAATTGAGCAAATATTAAGAAACAATATTAAAGTATAATGTTAAACATTTTCACAATGTCTAGTGAATTAAATCTCCATATTTCACAGTGACTATAACTGGATTTGGTTTGTCTGCTTAATCATTTCACAATACAAAAAGCCTATGGATATGGATATGGGCCTCAGTCAAAAATAAATAAAAAGCCCAACATAAAAGGTTTACAAGTTACAATTTAGAAAACATTAAAAATTGGCCCAAGTAAAAACTTATCTTCCCTTCCCTCCCCTTCCATTCTGCCTGCGTTCAAACTTTTGAAGAGTGCAACAATAGCGAGTTGGGGGCTGCATCCAACCTTCAAGTTTCCAGCAAATTCAATCCTATAGAAACCCCAATGCAGGCACTGCCTTCAATTGTTGTAAGAAATCCCAGATGAGATGAGGCGTATGCCTTCACTTGCCTCTATGTAGCTCCGCCCCTGGCTGACCTACTCTAATTTTCTCTGGAGCATCATCTCTTTTGTGTTTAAAACATTCTCTACCCTAGGTAGAATGACAAAAAGAGAGTCAATTAATAGATGCATTTACTTGTGGACGAATAAGAAGCCTGACTCGAATGCTTACCAAAGGAGACATTGAATTGCTCTCAAGAATCAAGTTCCAGACAGACTTAAACAAGAAGAAAACTCTCCTCTCTCCACATGTTCTATAAAGCAGGAGGAAATTCGAAACAGGGTAAACTTTATTAGTATAGAATATTTCATAAATGCATTATATTTGTCAGCTAGACACTATTTTGAAACATCTAAATTAGTTCATCTCATATTTAAAGGAGGAATCTATTTAAAACTCACCTTTTCTTTTCTTTTTTTTATAATTTAGAAAGATTCAACCTTTTCATGAAATTTGCTCCGAAATATACGATCAAAGGGCAGAAAACTTACAATTTCAGTTTACTAAACATAGTCATCAATAAAATAAACAACAAGAGTCAACAAAAAATTGATTACGCTAATTTGTATAGAAACTTGTGAGAGGATTAAATGGAGAGAAGAAAAGAGAGAGGTGAAGCTCTTGGCGATTGCTATATCGAATCTCGCTCCAACACTTTCAGTGCTTTCACAATCTCCTCCTGACCATCATACGGCTTTGTTTTCTCCTGTCGTCCATACAACATGACAGAATCGTGTAAAAGGATCACCGCATTGGAATTCTTACAAGTCAACCAAATGGTGCATAAAATGAAAATGAAACGTAAGCTTAGGAACATATCATAATCAATTAAAAGTTCTTTAAATTATTACAGAAAGATGATGCCAAAGTTCACTATAAAAATAATATTTTTACTTTCCATACTCTAGGGGCTCGGAAAAGGAAGCAGACGAGATTTGCTAACCTTGGCGACCATACGTTGAAAAGTAACTTCTTCATCATCTACTCTGTCCTTTCCTTTCTCCAATTTTTTATCTGCATCCAATTTGATAATCAATTTTTATATAAATAAAGCACTTGAAACATTCGCACAGAAAAGAGTAACCTACCTTTCGGATCCATAAGGTTTGTGTATTCTCGAACTTCACCGATTAGCCTGGATATATAAGACTCCAAAAATCCAAAGAATCGGGTAGAAACTTACATGAACTTAGCCAAGCCAGTCCAACAAATTCTCTCCAGATTATTCTTCAATTTCCCATTCCCAATGGAACCCACAGAAAACTCAATGAACTTTAGTGAAAACAATTACTTTTTTTATGATTAATTTTAGCTTACAGCAACAAAACCTTCCAACATGATGGGCAATGTGGCTTAGCAACAGTAAAATCCAACTTCAGAAGTTTGAATTCTTGAAATTATGTTGATATATATCCTCAAAGAATGCCAAAAGCAGTGGAATCATAATAAATTCCTTCTACATTCAAAATGGGCTTTTCCTTTCTTTTCTTTTCTTTTTTTTCTGAAAATGGGCTTTTCCTTTATTTTTTTTATTTTTTATTTTTTAAAGATTTGTTTTCCGTCTAGATGAAATCTTGAATATTTGTTTATTGGGCAATTTTTTGCAGGATTCTAGGAATTTGATTTGCATGGTCTTGTTCGACTTTGTCGGTTAAGTATTATATGTTATTTTTTTGGATTTGCATATTAAAGTTTAATATATATTAAATGGTTTTTGTACATACTTTTGGTTTCCATGGACAGTGATTGATTATGAGTTAATGCGGGATTTAATCTGATTTCATCGGTTATTTTTCCTCTTTCGCATAGGCTGGCTTTTGTAAGATTTTGTGGCTTTTTTTTTGCAGGATTTCAGAGTCCGATTTGTATTGGCTTCTTCGACTTCATTGGTTAAATATTCTTTGTTATTTTTATGTTGGATTTGTACATTAAACTTCAATATATATTAAATGCTTGCTGTATAGACTTTTGGTTTCCATGGTCAGTTTATCTTTTGTGGTTTCTATTAAGTGAGTGGGTCATTTTTTCCTCTTTCGATTTACATAGGCTGGCTTTTGTTTGATTTCGTGGCTTCTTTTGTACATATATAGTAAATGCTTGTTGTACACACTTTTGATTTCAATGGGCAGTAATTGATTATGAGTTTATCTTCTGTACTTTCGATTTACTGAGGTGGGATTTAATCTGATTTTAAGGGTTTTTTCTTCATCTTTCAATTTACTAAGATTGGCTTCTATTTGACTTCGTGGCTTCATTTGTACATGTATCTGTTTTTCATGTTAAAATTCCTTATGAAAGAAATTTTCAAAACTTGTTCATGTAATTCATCTTTCAAATTGGGGTAAACATTTGGTTTTTTTTTTTTTTTTTTTTTTTTTTTTTTTTTTCTTTTAATAAATTATGCTTACACTTCTTTGGTAACAAATTGATTCATGTTTCTTAAAACATTTGATTTCATTTTCTGTAAATGTGTGTAGTTATAAGATTGCTGCTTTCTTTTAAAGTTTTTCCATGCTGATGAAATTAAGCTCTTTCATTTCTTATTTCTTTTTTTGTTTGTAAATTAATGTTCTTTTATGAGAAGAGTGCGGAAGAAAATGGACACCTGGTAATTAGCGAGAGTCAATATAATGCGTGAACTTGATTTTACTTCATGTTATCCTATGTGTTTTATTAATTTTTAATGCATAATTTGTATTGGTAGGAATTTGATTGGATTAGTAGTTACAATATAACAATTTAATAATGATGAAATTTACCTTTTATCAACAACTTGCTATTTAATTCACACAATTTAAATATTTGAGAGTTCTTAAAATGAACAAGCAATATTGATTTCTTGTATTTGGATGTTGAAGCAGTTTAATCATTCCTGGGTTTTCAAAGTTATCGGGATATCGCATATGCTGATGAGTTGGTGAATTTTAGGGAGCATGGTTATGCAGCTGTAGACATTTTATGGGGAGTAGTTAGCATGGAATGTTTGGCCACTTCAACTGAATATGTTTCTTATATCTATTAGGCCTAGCTCAAAATAGTACGTCTATGAATTTGTATAAAAGAGAATAAGTGTATGTATGTTTTTTTTACTTCACCTTGTCCTTGTGGGGATCAAATTCAAAACTTTTTAACCATCTGTAAGAGGCTATAAAACGGTTAAATATTCAGTTTTTATTCCTCTCCGAAAATTATTTTTTTCTAGGAGTAGTACTCCATAATCTTCAATAGTAGTGCTTGAGCAAGTTCCATTCTTGATAAATTCTGTTGGATTTGTGGATGGCCAAGTGTTTGGTTGTTGAAACATGGACATGGAAAGGGATTTTATTTTTCTCATGCCTCCATGTGCGTTACCAGTGACTTCAGACTGAGGGCTATCTTTAAGGGCTCTGACAAGATATATAGGAATCTTGTTGCTCTTTAACATATTCGCTTTTTTCTCCCCCTTCTTGTAGCAGTAATCCCAATGTGTGTAACTTTTACTACTTGTTAGCCATGGTTAACAACGAAATGCCATGTATTTTCATAAAGAAATATATACATTGTAGTCTCACATTATATATACTTTGTAGCCTTGTTTATATTTAAGTAAATGAGATCTCTCTCTGATGCATAAAAGGAAAAAAGAACAAAATTATAATTCTAGACAATTCCCTCTGTTTTGGTAAGCAATAGTTATGTGCTTTCAAGTTGAATTGAAGTGGACAAAGTTATTAGATGTGTAGTTGAAAAATAAGGAAAAGTTTTTGATTTACGTGTAATATTATTTTAATGAAGAATGTATGGTTGAAAAGAAGAGGGAGAAATGCATATTGAAAAAAATGAGTACCAAACGAGGCCGAATAATGCAATAGATAAAAATTAGAGACCAAGTGCATTGGCATCTAAATCAATCTAAATCCGTAATAGACATAAAATAGTCTGAGGCTTATTAGAACCCTTTTCTAATCTTTATCAAATGGCACACATCTTTTGTCTCTTCTAGGCAACCAGCTATGTGGTTGGCTACAAGAATTGAGTAGTAAGAAACCAGTAATAGGTGCATCACCCATTTAAATAAGTACTCTTTTACAGAGACTCACAACCACATGACCCTGACTTAGAGAGAAAAGTAAAATTTACCTTTGAAATTTCTACGACTCAATATCTTTCGAAGCTGAAAGCAAAGTAGACCGATATAGTTCAGATTTTCAATGTGTATACTCTAATTTTCATGATAATTTATGTATTTTTCAACCCTGTTCATCCTACAGAAAGAAGAAAAAATGAAAATATTTTTAGTTTGCCTGTTTAAATTGGTCACATAAAATATGTTTTGGGAAAATTTTCCGCAATATTTTTAGTTCTCGAATACTTAAATGGAAAAGAATTAACTAAGAGATGAAGGAAAGGACATTTAAATACCACCTTGAAAATAATATCATTTGTATAATGTATTGGTGTTGTCGAATGTTGAAAACACGGCCATTTTTCATTTATTTTGTTATTAATGTGTGTAAAGCTCATTTAATTTTTATTTAGTTTTTTTAGTAAATAAAATATTTTCACAATATTTTTTTCCAACATAAGGATAAGTCAGATTTTATGATGACAGAAGAATTTTTCCTTCCTAGCCAGATAGAAGAACATCGAGATGTTCAAAGGATTTCTCTCCAACACTTGGAAAGTTCAAAAGTTTTGCAGGCTTAATCATATTATGCATATCACATAGAAGGGGCACTGTGGAACGAGGGTTCGACTTCACAAAAGTGTTGTTCACAAACTTGTGGCCTTGGTCGTCCTGTCACTCCACGGGATAAAAATTATCAAAAAATGCCATGCCCATCTTAAAGAAGTGGGAGATAAAAAAGGCACCTTAAACCTTTTTAGTCTAAGTAATTCCATTTAAAGATTTGATGCTAAAACTTACCTGTGTTCTACAGATTTTTAGGCAGATAGATCAGTAGATGCATCCCAGTGATTTTGTTTTATAGACAATAAAGCTATTTACTTTTGGGGATAAGAGAACTTCAAGCTTTTTAAATGCATACCTTTAGTTTTGTCTATGGAACCCCCAAACGGGATGCCTTCCAATTGGTCCTGCTTGTAGTTATTTTTGAGGTTTCCTCGTTTTCATTTCAGGATCCAGCATATAACCTAAAGTAACAAAAATCAAATAAAAACCTTAACATAACTAGGTTTGGGTTAGGTGTTTTTAGTCTACTTTGTTAAGCATTTACATTTGCAAAATAACCCCTTTTTTATGCAGTGTGAACAAGGAAATAGAGTACATGCTGAGACCAACTTCTGTGACTTTTTTATTGGGATCTCAAATTGAAGCAGTTGCAGCTACGTTGTGGCATACCATATGCATCTGCACAGATGGTTGTGTCTATGCTTTTGGTGGAAATCAGTTTGTGCAATTGGGTTCAGTAACAAATTCTGATCAATGTGAGGTATATTCTCCGCTTATTGTTTACATTTCTTCAAATTATTTTAAAAATTTTCACCTCTTTTTATGCTGTAAACAATAGACATTTTAAATTACCATGAGCCATGAAACTCCCAATGTTTCTCCTAATGCAGGCAGCTGTTAAAGAATCTTGTAGCAGTCCTCAACAAAAGAATCATAGGTAAAATTTGTGGATTCGATCCTATTCTTGGATAATGCAATTAATTAGTTATTACTGCACTCAACATATGATAGACCTCATTGTCTATACACATGTGAGACCTTGAGCTTTCATCTAACCATGAACATTTGTCATTGATCTGGAAGACTTACTGCAAATGGAATAGAATCCAAGTTGAAATGTTAGTTCACTCTCATAATGTATAACCTAGAAAACCACAAAACACATTTTTTTGCCAAACGCAATCAAATGTGATATTGTAGTCTTTCATGTGATCCCTTGCTCTTTCTTATTTTTTTCCCCCTTTTTTATTATTCATTGCTTTCCTTTATGTTTTCCACTATGACATTAGTCAGAACCAAATAGTTTAAATTTAATTGTGTGCTGTTCTGGTGTTGTAGTTGAAATGTTACCGCTCCTTTTTTTGTGAAGAATTTTAAATTTATGTTTTGTTTTTATTTCAACTGTACCAACTTCGTGGTATTGATTATTTTTCATTTTGAACTATTGTGCTGTAATTACGTATTGAGCTCATGTTTCAGCGAACTTCAGATTTGCCTTGTGGTTCAATTCATTGATTCATCTATCTATCGGATTAGTAACTCAAGCCCTTTCCTACGCTTTCAAGTAGACAAAGGATAGAAAGCACTTTAACTCAAGAAAAACGAGTCTAACAACCAATATAGGTTAACTATAAAATGATTTATTACCAATTTTGAATATATTTGCCTCTTTATTGTTCAAGTTAGTTCTAATTTTTTCTTCAATTGATGTAAATGATGGCTTCATCGAATTTAACTGCCTCAAAATTGAAATAAAATGAAATAGAGGATTCCCCCACGTCAAAGTAAATGTGGGAAAGTACTATATAATATTGATGCTATCACTTTATTTCAGGGTTAATGTCAATGTGGTATCTTATTAATTCTAGCTTATGTTTATCCTTTACTGATCATGTCGTTTATTAATTTTCAGCTTTTTGGTAAAACTTTACCACAATGTCTTAAGAGGGGTTTTATAGTGGTCAAACACCAACTAATCGCGTAGAAGAGGATAATGATCTGTATAATATAGAAGACAGGAGTGGTAGGTATCTTATCAAGGAAAATGGATTACATGATGGAAATAAAGATACTAATTATGGCCATGATCAACTTCAAGAGACTGCAGTACAATTTAGTTTCCACAATGAATATTTGAAGTCTAACTTTGTAGATATGGAAATGCATTCTTGATTCTGGCGAGCTTGAAATCAAAATAAAGCTATGGAGCTACACCATCTGGCGTCCAATAATGCTGTCAGAGAGCTTTACGAAAAATTAGAATCTTCGAAAAGAGAACCTCTAGGGGAAAGACAAACTTGGGGTGCTGCAGAGGAACCCCTAAAACATCTTGGAGCAGCACACTTAGAGGCATATACAAAGGTTCAAGACCTTTCTGCCAAAGTTGCCGAAGGCTGTATTATTTTTTGTAGATTTCCATGCTATCTCTATTGATTGGATTTGGTAACATATTTTCAAATTAGATCCATTTATGATTCTTGTTAATGGTAATTGATGTATTAGTTAAATGTGGCCTTATGATAGAGTTCTTGGGGGTAAAAGATTTGTTACTTCTACTTTGTTATTTTACAACTATCGTACTAAATTGGTTTAATGGTTTCTTTGGGTAGCTCGACAGAAGATGGACCACGAAATAAAAGTCGTAGTGAAAAGTCTTCTCAACTTCTTACTGAGTTCAGAAGACTTCACAAAAGAGCAAAGGAACGTATTCAAGAAGTGCAGAAGGTATTTTTTTTACCTTTTCCTTATGTCACTTTTCATTTATATCACTGTCTGACATTTTCATATTGCTTCCTCTTTTCCATTAAGCATTTCCGTCTTTTGGCAGAATTTTTTGTGCTAGATTTTTAATATCATTATATGCTGTTCATCTCATCAATGCATAAAATACTTATTTATTGTGTTTTTACTGACATGTTTCACCACAGGTCTCTGTTATTTTATATGTATATATATATACGTTAGCTTCACTAAACCACTAATTTTAGTAAGACAACACGTCCCTACAAAAAATCACATGGGCACTACCTGGCAACCAACTTCTCACAACCTTTCCTTGATTTCTCTCTCAAATAGCGTCTAGATTTTTGTTGAGTCCAATTAGAAACATCTATAGCCTCTTCCTTTCTACAATTTGCTTGTATCTTATTCCATCTTCAGGACATCTCCACGGGAATTCCTCGTAGGGATCTAACTGCTACCAATTAGAGCAGAGAGAATAGCGAGAGAGAAAGACATACAAAAAGACAAAAAAAAAAATTGACAAGAAGATAAAAAAAATCTACAGAGTAAACAGACATGGTGTGAAATGGAGTGAAAAAGCAATGGAAGAGAGATAAAATGTCAGAGAGAAGAAATGGTGAGATAGTCCACCCAGCATTAATAAGACATGGTTGCGTGAATTGTACTGAAGCAGAACCCTCTTTCCCTAGCCACACAAGTCTTTTTCAGTGTGTGTTTTGTAAGCAACCCTTTGTCTTCCAGTTTCATTCTTCTCACGCACTTTTCTTTTTCTCATTCATTTGGTGCAAAAACCCTAAAAATGCCTTTTTCTTCTATTTCTAAAATTTCCGTTATTACTCTTCTGATACACCGCTCTTTTGTTTTCGCACGGACATTGTTCTTTTTTCTGTTCGAAAATCTCCGTTAACGATGATCGGCAGGAACGAGGTTTCTATAATTTCTATGAACTCAATCGACTGTTTCTTCGGTAAGATCTACAGTTTAGGCTTTATTTTTTGTTGTTGTGTGGAAATCGTTCTTTTTTCTGTTCGAACATCTTTCATATTGATTGTGTATTTTGAACGACGATCAATAGGAACGATGTTGCTATGAACCCAATTGACAGTTGAAGAAAGGGTTCGATAGAAAGGGCAAAAATTTCGGTAAGATCTATGTTCCCTTCGTTAAGCTACTTTCTGTATTTATATTTGTGCGTTGTTCCTCTAGATCTATGGTTGGTAATATATATATATATATATATATATATATATATA